GCGGACATCGTGATGCACGAGCGGCTGGTGGTGTTCAATTTGCTGCAAACCATGCCGAAATCGTTCCAGCAGCTGGTGACAGTCCTCGAAACCCTGCCGGCGGAGCAGTGCACACTCGAGTTTGTGAAGGCCAGGTTGCTGAGTGAAAACGTGAAGCGTCAGAACAACTGCGAACCGGAAGGCACTCTGGATGGTGAGTCGGCGTTTTTCAGTGAGCGGCCCAAGATGAAGTGTTTTTCCTGTGGCAAAGTGGGTCACAAACGCGCAAACTGCCCCATGAAGAAGGACTTGGCCCAACGGAAGCCGAAGAGGAAGGAAAAGGCCAACGTCGCTGGGTCCGGAGTGGCGTCTGTAACAGAGTCGGACGGTGAAGCTAAGCGTGACGGTGGGAATCTGAGTCAGTTCTGGTGGATTCTCGATTCAGGCGCCTCCGAACACATGCTGTAGTCAGCGGATTGCCTTCGAGACGTGGTGAAGCTGGACAATCCGGTGCCAATCGTGGTGGCCTCCGGGAAGGTCGTGTACAGCTATCACTCTGGCACGGTAAGCATGGTCTCGATGGTCGGAAAGCGTCAAATCAACAGCGTGGTGAATGACTTCCTGTACGTGCCGGAACTGCAGTACAACCTGTTTTCCATTCGGCGCATCGGCAAGCTTGGGATGCGTGTGACGTTTGGAAGAGAAGCACGGCAGCGAAGTGGTTGCCACTGGTAAATTGTCCGGCAAGCTGTACGTGCTGAACGCCACCGTGAAGCGTGGACCAGTGGATGGAGCGCTGGTAGTCTTGCCGGTGAACGAGTACGAGCTGTGGCATCGGAGGTTCGGCCACATTGGCAAGAGTGGTCTGAAGACTCTGGTGCGCAACGAGATGGTCAACGGCATGGTGCTGAGGAAGGACGCATTTCAAGACAACGAAGTGTGCGAACCTTGTGTGCTTGGGAAGCATGCGAGACAGCCTTTTGGAGACGTACCAGTTCCGAGATCCAACAAGCCGTTGGAGCTGGTACACAGCGACGTGTGCGGTTTCCTGACCCCGACAGCCTGGAACGGAAAAAGGTATTTCGTTACATTCGACTGGCTATGCGGACGCGAACTGGGCTACGGATATCAACGACAGGCGTTCGGTTTCGGGAATCCTGTTCAAGCTGTACGGAGTCACAGTCTGTTGGAGTATCCGGAAACAGAGCACCGTATCCTTGTCGTCGACCGAAGCGGAATGTTCCGCTCTAGCAGACGCAGCGTGCGAGGCCATTTGGATCGGCAAGGTCTTGAAGGATTTAGGTGTTGCTCGAACCGCAGTCGCCACTTTTATATGAAGATAATCAATCAACCATTGCTATCATGGAATCAGCCGGACCTTCGAAGCGTTTGAAGCACACCGACGTCAAGATACATTTTGTGCGGGAATGTGTAGCTTCGAAGAAACTTGAAGTTCGCTACATTCCAACGGGTGAGCAGCAAGCTGACTTGTTGACGAAAGGTTTATCGACGATGCCGTTCCGGAAGCACTGTTCGAGTATCGGAGTTTTCCCACGATCAGTTTGAGGAGGGGTGTCAAGAACGAGCAAACCGATCGTAGTAGCTCTATTAAGATGTGTTAGATCGTAGTAGTCATGAGTTTGAGTTTGAAGTTAAATAAAGCATTCTTCTAATTATCCTTCGACAGAAGTAGTCGTCTTTCCATAACTATCTACTATCACGACATCAGTTTGCAAAACTATGGGGATTTCAACATTCTACGTCTGCACCACACCACCAACAGGCCAACGGTAAGGCGGAGGCCGCTGTAAAAATCGCCAAACAGCTTATCCGTAAAGCGAGTGAGTCAGGACAGGATCTTTGGTTCGTAATTCAACTTTGGAGAAACACACCCAACAATATCGGAATTAGTCCTGCATCCAGATTGTTCTCACTGACCCGACACACAACGAATCTATTGCAGAAAGTCGTGGAAGGTGTTCCAGAAGCAATCAGGAGGAATCGTCCAACTTTAGGCACAATCATCTAAGGTCTGGTCTCCGGGATTCATCAGTAATCAACTTAGTGATCGATCATACGTAGTTAATGTGGGACTAAAAACTTCACAGATATTTTCTGCTCTATTGCTCTCTCGGATGATGTACGTTGGAATACTGCTGTGCAGTCTGGAGCCCGAACTACAATAATGGGGCTGAACGAATTGAATCTGTGCAACGACGTTTTCTTCGCTTCGCGCTCCGTAGGCTGCCTTGGAGATACCCACTTCATCTTCCAAGCTACGAGAATCGGTGCCAATTGATCAATGTCGAGCCCTTACGTAACCGAAGAGATGTTTTCAGAGCCTTAACCATCGCCGATACTCTGCAAGGAAGCATCGACTGCGAAGCTATTCTGCAACAAGTAAAAATTAATGTTCAACCTCGATCACTACGCAACGATCTAATGCTGAGACTTCCACTTCTTCGAACTAATTATAGCTTAGGGATCGCTATTTACGGCTTGCAGCGAGCGTTCAACCGAGTAGCATCGATGTTCGATTTCCACTTGACATGGAATATGCTTCGCCGAGGATTCTCTGCCTTTTTTGCTGATCGAAGGCGCTTGACGACCAACCGCTAAGTGTAAAATTTTAGGCTTATACATTTTCAGTTGTCGACTCTTATGACAATACCTATTGGCAAAATTGGGGCTGTTCTTTCAAATAAAACGACTGACTACTTCTTAGAAGTGCAACAAAATTAGGTGTAATTCATAGCAAACGGTTTCATAGGTGAGTTATTACGAGTAAAAACATTATCGAAGCAGGCTACAATATATTTCACTGCCAGAGCCTAACGTTGGACAACAGGAAAACTCAACATACGACACCAGTGGGAATAAATGCGGGAATATTCACGTAAACAGCTTGTTTATTTGTAGCTTCGGGAATCGATACATTATCGCTTTGATGGAATAGGCTCAATGTGATTAGAAGGATGAGAAAATGGATGTTAGTACGACGCCTTGTTCTCTGAAGAGTTTCGAAACTTTGCCAGTAAGGTTGGACTTCATTTCACCGAAATAATTACGTTCTGTGTGTTCGATGAATGTAAGTTTGAGGTTATGTATGAAGTTTCCGAGGGTTTTATGTCCAGTCCAGTCGAAACTTAGTTCATGTTAAGAGACGCGTGCAGTCCACAGAGGAATCAAAATGCAATTATTTTGGGGGTCAGTGAACTACGCCGTTTCTCTCCCAGAGTCTTACAGGACTTTCTTTGAGAACCCTTTACAATGTTAGGAGAATCTAGTTTGAAATGTTTTATTAATCCACTTAAGTTACCAAGCTATCAGCTATTTGAGATCATCGTTTAAAAGTGTTACTCCTCATTCATAAAACGACCAAGTTGGACCGAGTTGGAGCACGGAACTATGCTCGAAAAGCTTCCCTGAGACTTGGAGAACCTGTTAATCACTTGAAGTGATACGATCCAGCGTCCACCAATCATCGACAGAATGATTCTTTTGCAACGGCCACTCCCTTACAAGGTTTGTTTACAAAACTGGGGTTGCGGCCTTTTCAATTGTTGGTCGGCATATTCAACTGTCTTCAGTGTGAAATATTTCAGACCACGAATAATTGGCTGAGGCTTCAGTAGGCTTGGGGTGAGAATCGTGTAAAGTTCAAATAATAGATCCCAGAAGATCCGCTGAGAATTCTACAACCACCCCTATTCTGTATTTCGTTCGAAACGAAATTCCTATACAAAAAAATATTTTTTTGTATGAGAATTTCGTTTCGAACGAAATACAGAATAGGGGTGAACATCTCACATCAGAACCTACAAGCCTACGTGTCTTTGGGCAAGATAACCTGAAAGAATTTTAGAATGCTAGAAAGCACATATAATTTACCCGAAGAGGGGCCAGTTTTGGCACTAGACAGTTGATTCATAGTGCAATTTCACTGGTTCTGATCAATCACGGAGTAGCAACCATTTGATATGGGCAGTCAGTCGGTGCTCCAGTTTTTGGTCCTAGGTCCTAACTCAAATTTGAAATATATTTTCATTGTATTATTTGCATAGATAGTGTGAGGTGACTCTCCATTTGATTTACACGGAAAGTCACCTCACACGAATAAGGGGGTTTATCTCTCTCGAAAACTTACAAAAGCTCCTACTAGATTGATAGCGCACTGCGTCAACCTAAGATTTGATATGACTCCCTTCGAAAATAGGCCTTGCTTCCACGAAGGAGATCTGAAGATCCTTGGAGCGTAGCCATTTTTCGTCAGAACTAAGGCAAACATTTCTCCACCTGCTTTCTTGTCTCTGGCAAATTGCGTACTGCCCTCGGTGCTGCCTAGATGGTGTTTACTCTTTTTCGAATTTTGTATCGATTAGGGCTTGAAAAATGTTAACACTGAACTTGCGTGCTCAAAACTTGAACACCGATATTTCACATCCCTAGTAGGCGTTGAGCTTCGAAATTTCGAAGTAGTTTCCCGCTAAATTCCCTCACGTTTTGTAAGGGAACATAATATCTCTTATATAGACATTGTTAACTACAGACATGAAATTCTGATATCCAGGATGCCACGAATAATTAGTGGATTAGGTCAGTGACAATTGTCACTTCACTGTCTCCTCACCTCACACGCCGCGCAGAACAGACCTAGATACATCCACCCGAGCTATACGAGTGGCGCTGATTTCTGGTCGCTCAAATTTGCCAGAAGTGGTGGAGGTGGTCTGCTCTAAAGCTAGATCACCATATGACTCGTCATGCTGAAATCTCCCCTCGTTGCCATCAACATACACATAGGAACTAGGTTGTCCAGCAAATTCATTCGACGGAAAATCGATGCAGTCTGGCAACACTTCCCTTTATGCTTTGCAATTGCATAACTACGATAACTGCACATCACAACTGAGTTGCCATTTCTATTCAAAGCTGCGAAGAAAATTAAGCGTTCCAAGCAAAGGCATTCAACGGAAATTCGATATATTCCTCGAACGCATCTTTCCCCCCGGCATCACATAGCAAGTTTCCTGCTTCTCCCGGACAAAACTATCGAGCTCAAACGTTCAACCGTTTGCGGATCTCCTCCGCTAGCGATTCCAGTGGAACTTCATCCTCCTTGCGGGTTGCGATCTCCCTCAGCTTCACAATGCCCCGCGCCAGCTCCTCGTCACCCAGGACGATCGCGTACGGAATCTGATTCTCCTCGCAGTACTGCAGCTGGGCCAACAGCTTCGGATTCTGCTTGTACGGATGTTCCGCCTATGGATCGAAAACAAACCGAAAGTTTCAGCACATAATAATACCAGTACTCGACCTGAGCAGTTCCAGGCCAATAGCGAAAAAATACCTTCTCCGATTTGCATGAAGATTTGCGTAATTGTTTGTTAAATGGGCAATGATTTACATTTTTGCTAAAATTCGGCCATTTTGGATCTTGTAAAATTTTCAAAATGAAGTGATAGATAATTTTCCGTTTCCGTGCTAATTTTTTTTAAATTTTCAGATAGGCCCTTTTGAAAATGTTGCAAGATCCAAAATGGCCGAATTTTAGCAAAAAATGTGAATCATTGCCCATAAGAAACAATTGTGCAAAGTTGAATGCCAACCGGAAAAAACCAGCTTTTCCGATTCGTCATTTCTCGACTACTTTTTCGAAGGGACGTATCAGCTTTTGTAAACAATGCATTTGATCGTCGATTTGGCGTAACACCACTATCAGGTAGGGTAAAGTTTCTCCAATCAAATGCATTGTTTACAAAAGCCGATACGTCCCTTCGAAAAAGTAATCGAGATTTGGCGTGGAACTGCTGCTCACTTACACCTCTCGAAACGAACCTTAATGCCGGCATCCCACAGCTTGTTCAGCACTTCCATCCGCTTCAAATGCAGTCCCTTGTGCGCCGAAGCCACGTAGACCTCGATCTCCGTCGTGCGGATCTTCTTCTGCTGGTTCTTGGCTTCCAAGATCGAGAAGATCCGCTCCACGCCAATCGAAACTCCCACGCAAGGGACCTGTTTCCGCTTCGGATTGAACATACCTACCAGATTGTCGTACCTTCCGCCACCGGCAACCGAACCGACGCTCACTTCCTCCTCCTTATCCTTGCCCTTACCCTTACCACCAGCACCGCCCCCGTTCAGTACCGGTTCCGCCTTCAGCACCGCTTCGTAAATCACCCCCGTATAGTAATCCAACCCTCGAGCTAAACTCAGATCGAAGATGATCTTATCCTTCAGCCCGAAGACATCGCAATACTGCAACAAAAGTCGCATATCTTCGATACCCTCCATAGCCGTCTTAATGTTCTTCAACTTCTCGTCCTCGGCCAGTGTATCCACCAGCTCCGCTCCACCGTTCATCCGCACATACTCCCCGATCCGATCAGCTATCTCCCCATCCAGACCCTTTTCATCGATCATCTCCTTCCGAACTTCCTCCCACGGCGTTTTGTCCAGCTTATCCACCGACGAACAAATCGTCCGGAACTTATCCACCGGAACTCCGCACGCCTCGAACATACCATCCAGAAGTTTCCTGTGATTCAACTTGATCACAAACTCCCCCACTTCCAACTCGGTCAAAATCTCCACCACCACCTTCACGCACTCCGCATCCGGTAACATCGGATCGTACGTTCCGGCGATGTCGAAATCGCACTGGTAAAACTCCCTGTAGCGTCCCTTGGTCATGGACGGATTGTCTCTCCGATAGACCTTGGCAATGTGATACCGCCGGATGTTGAACACATTTCCCATCCCGACGAACCTCGCAAACGGCACAGTCAGATCGTACCGCAGGGCCAAAATCTCCCCACCCTGATCCTTCAGATCGTAGATCAACTTGCTGTCCTCGCCGTACTTTCCCGTCAGCACCTCCTTCAGCTCAAAGACCGGCGTGTCGATCGTTTCCGCTCCGTGCTTCTTGAACACGGTCTTAACCCGCTCCAGAATGTCCAACCGGAGGGCCATCGCTTCCGGGCCATAGTCGCGGGTACCTTTGGCTGTTTTCAGTGTGATATTCTTGTTGCCACGCTCCGGCTCGCCTTCATCGAGATTCAGCAGTTGGGCCTTCAAAGCCAATAGCTTTGCAACCTCCTCATCAATCTGCAAATAAGACCAAAGATAATGAAAGCGAAATTAGTGTGCAGTTCGGACAGTACCAAATCAGGACGAAGGTGACGCGAACCTGAACGATTTGACGTGAGTTGTCGTCGTCAGTGGTCGATCGCTGCAGCGAACAGAAGCGACAATTTCGGTGGCCAACGGTGGTGTTGATCCGACGACCAACGACAGACGCTGAATAGTGGGCACGATCAAGCCGTCCAGCAGCAGCGGTGGTGGGTTTGGTGATTGATCGTTGAAGCATGGTTACTGCGGAGACGCCGCCCCGACGCAACTGACAAAGCATGGCGTTTCTTCGGTTTTGTTAATAAAGTAAATTAAAGTGATGCGCGACGGTTACGCCCGGCGCTTCCGCTTCCAAGTCCGACAAATCGATTATTCCTCTTCTGGTGTTTTTTTTTTTTTGTTTTTACTGTACACGAAAGATTCAATAAACGCGATCGCGACGCGAGTCTAACGTGTCTTTTTAACTCTATTTGGCATGAGGTGATTGACTTCTTACTGCAGTTTGAAGGAGAGGCAAGATTTGCGATCATCATTGGCAAAAGTTGAAGCGAGACGCATAGAAGAGAAAGAGAAAATTGAAATCAAATGAGCAAAGTGTATTCTTGGCGGCGCGAGTGTCGGGACGATTAACAAGCGGCGTAAACTTTCTTAAAATTTGATTGCATGCTAAGTTGTTTTTTGGTGAGTCACAATTTTTTTTTTTTCACAATAACACATTTTTTTGAAATCAATAACTTTACGCGAGTTAAGACAATACATCATAAGCCAAAAGCAGAGTACTTCCCACACAGACACAACACATAAGCATTTTCATTTAATTCTTTTAATTTGGAGTACTGCCCATAAAAGCATAGCAGTCGCATCTTGATAGCATGATTTCCTGTTCACATGGGACTGTTATGCGTTTATGGGTAGATTCAGGATAGAAACTAGGGACACGCAATATTCTAAGTTCACTGCAGTTTTGTAATTGTAATTGTAATTTATTTAGCTTACGATACCCTGTTGGTTGTACCATGTTGTACCCTTTGTCAAGTCAAGGAAAACATATTTATAAAATATGAACTTTGGAAGCTAGAGAAAGTACAAGTTTTACATTTGATTTAATAACCCCGAAGGGCAGCCTTAAAGGCGGAGATGTTGTTTGATGGCTATCGACAGGTTATTCCAGGTGAAGGCACCGTCGACGAGCACACTTTTCTTTTCGGAAGTAGTGTGCCTCGGGATGGTGAAAGATAGAGCTCGATCCATTTGGCCCCTTTGAAGGTGTTGTAGCAGGTACTCAGGTAGGGATCCCAAGTACCCTTGCCGCATGAAACAGCTAATGCGGTTTCGGTAGTTGATTGCTAGTTCGTATCCTAGGGTTCCGTTTCGCACCGCGGCCGTTGATTCTCTATGCTGCAAGCGGTACACAAACCGAACTGCTGCCTTGAAGCACCGTTTCAGCCGTTCTTTGTACGCCGAAGACAAGGCGACAAGCCGGGATGATACACGACGTCGCAGAATGTGAAAAATGTCATGACGACAGCTTATATGAGCTTCTTCCGTGTTGGTAATGATAGTACAGGAGCGAATTTCCTGAATGTGTGCAGCGTTCCGAGTACTTTCGCAGTCACGTTGTTCACCTGAGCAGACCATCGCATGGTTTTGTCCATGTGCAGCCCTAGATTTAAGACTCTATCGGCTGCAGCTATGATTTCAGAGCAGAATACCTACAATGTCGGTGTTTGTTTCTACCGAGCCCTCCTTGCAAAAAAATAATTGTTTGTATTTTCTTCGGGTTGGGGAAAAGCGCGTTTCATCGTGCCCAACATTCGATAATCGCCAGGTCCGAGTTAACTGTTGCAATAAGTACATCAACTTGGTTCTTGGGATCTGAAATGTATATTTGTCTCTGCATAAAGTTGATATTGACACTTCAAATCCCGTGGCAGGCTATTGATGTACAAACTGAAAAGGAGAGCGCTCAGACAGGAACCTTGTGGTGTGCCATTGGTGACTGGATGCTCGAAGGACGATACATTGCCGAATTTTACGGTTTGGCTACGGTGACGAAGAAACGATGCAATCAGTTGAACGGCTTCAGATGTAAAGAAAAATTCATCGTGTAGCTTATCCTTCAGCTTCTGATGGTTTATACAGTTGAAGGCAAGTGAGAAATCTATCAGAACCATAACAGTACATTGATTACCATCAAAGCTACTGTAGATGTCATGGGTTATCTTGGTCAGGGCTGTTGTTGTGCTGTAGCGTTTCCTATACCCAGAATGATTCTTTGCTAATAGCTGAGGGTCTTGGAGATGACAGGAAGGACGGTGATAGATCGGAAGTCCTTCGGTTGTGTGGGGTTCGCTACTTTCGGAATCGGAGTGACGACTCCTTTCTTCCAGATGGCAGGAAACGAGTTGTTATCAATAACTGCATTACACACATTCACCAGTAGCGGCAAGATGAACGGGCATAGTAACTTTACGAAATATATTGCGATGGCATCTGTACCTGTGGCGTTGGTTTGAATCTCCGCTATTCTTCCTTCAACTTCTGTAGCATCAGTGTGTCGACAAAGTAGACGGGTGGACAGTACAGCCGGCCAAACCACTTCCAACGCTAACCGCCCGTAGAAGACGTGCACACGCACTGGTCACAAAACGGACTCTTGGACAGGAATTCAGCGTAGTCGCAGGTAATTTGCTGCATAAAAGATGGCGACGATGATGCTAACATGTTCGTTTTAATTAGGCACTTTTCAAATCGGCTTGAGCCAGGAACAGTGATCAACCGGTCGCTACACGGACCGCACGGAAAACGACTGAATTGGAACGAGAAAGAAGCGTCCCGATCCGAGGGTGAGTTTCACGGCACAAGTATTGTCTCTGCCGATATTAATAGAAAGCCTTTTCAGGGCGCTTTATTTTTCCACGGTCTCAAGATTCGGGAAGTGCGGGAAGGCCGACTGACGTCGACGGAATTGGACCACTCGATGGTCAAAGACGGTAGTGCGACGAGGACCGACTACGGAGCTCCGTGTGACGGCAAGCGATTGGACCGCTCGACGGTCAAAGACGGAGGTGAGACGAGGACCAACTACGGAGGCCCGTGTGACGGCGAGCGTTGGTACCGTGCGGCGAGTGACCAACAGGACGTCGGTCTCAGACGGAAGCGTACGACGATCGTTCGTCGAGTTGCCGACTAGACGCCGGCGGGAAGCTAGTCAATCGCGAGCCCCTCAGTGGCAACAACGACGGCGAGCAGGAGAACATGTGAGTACGTTCCAATGTACGTAGTGGGCGGAAGCTTTGCGACGCCGAAGAAAGAAAGGAAAAAAGAAGAGTTATGTTGTTTAGCAAGCATTAGACAGGTCCAGGAAGAGTAACAAGAGTAGGAGAAAGAGAGAGAGAGGAGCAGGAGCTAGGAGGGGAAAATATGTGGGCAATGAGAATACACGTTTGTTAACAAGTTATGTTCTCATGATTTTGTTTGATTTGTTGGTGCACATTGCCTTAAGTGTTTGTGATTAGTCCGCCCTATGGTAGTTCTGCTCTACCGCAACCGGGGAACTGTAACACTGGCGCCCAACGTGGGGCTCGAACCCACGACCCTGAGATTAAGAGTCTCATGCTCTACCGACTGAGACTCTTAATCTCAGGGTCGTGGGTTCGAGCCCCACGTTGGGCGCCAGTGTTACAGTTCCCCGGTTGCGGTAGAGCAGAACTACCATAGGGCGGACTAATCACAAACACTTAAGGCAATGTGCACCAACAAATCAAACAAAATCATGAGAACATAACTTGTTAACAAACGTGTATTCTCATTGCCCACATATTTTCCCCTCCTAGCTCCTGCTCCTTGTCCTCCGCCTTGGTTATTGGCCCCTCGTTGTTCGGCTGAAACAGTTGCTGGTGCTACGGTTTGAAGTTGACGATGACCATCGCAGAAGAAGCGATTGAGTTGTTCTGGTTCAATTTCATCCATATCGTTTCTTTGCAACCGAGATAAGTGAAGCAGCTCTGTCACGTTTACGGATGTAGTCGCACCAATGTTCGTCACCTTTTCTGCGGTTCACATATCTCATGGTTACATATCTGAAAATCGGCTTGGAGTCTAACAGTATCAATAGCACGGAAATCTCTTACTATAACTCGTTGCGCTTACTGTTTTCTGATTCGAACATCAGATATTAGGAATATTGTCTCGTGGTCAGAAATGCTATTGGCGATTGCTTTAGCAGCAACGATGGTTTGTGGACAGTCAGTTACCATGAGGTCAATAGTAGTAGCGGTCCTATCCGTAATCCTAGTAGGTGTTGTAGGGAGGACAGAGAGGTTGAAAGCGTCGTGGATACGACTCAGTGCTGCATGATTCCCTATCGGATGTGGCACAGTCTCCTAGCAGGAACAGCCTGTCGAAAACAATCTCCTGTAGGTCGAAGAGTAGTTTTTCATATTATCTCGCAAAGTTCTGGTTGCCTACGTTGGGATTGTAGATGACGGATGTTCAGGTCATGTATTCTGGTTTGGACGACGAGAAATTCGAACCTCTGTCCGACAGGAACATCGGGATTGAGGGTAGACTTAAGAATTGGTGTAGCTTTTATCCCTTTAAAAACATACAGACCAAGCCCTCCACAGCATTTACTACCGCGGCCTTTGGTTGATGGTAGACAATGCTTAATTAAGTTGTAACTTGAGCTTGCTTGAGCTTGAGCTTGATTGACCGCCCACGGTTGCTACTCTGTTACTGCCAGATCAGCTGTAATTACACAGAGAACCAATAGCAGTGCTGCAAAATCTCGACAATACACGGTAATATTGACAATTTTGCTTTGGTCACTCATTTGAGCTAACAGTCATAGTCAAGGCAAACCATGTCAATTGTCAATGACAATGCTGTCAGTGACGAACATGTGTAGATTTTTATATTAACCAAAATTGTAACAAAATTTACTAACTTGAGCAACACAATTACATGAAGCCGTTAATGTGAACAAGCATCTACCTCCTGAACTACTTGGTTAACAATAATGTGACACAGAATGTATGAAATTACACTTTTTGTTACCAGGTGAATCTTTGTCATTGACGAAAAAATGAATGAGATTTTGACGAAGGTTTTTTTGAGGATCAAGTCTGTCAGTGACTATGTGAAGAACAATTTTGTCAATATCGCGCGAAAGTCTGTCAATGACAATGACAAATCTCAGCACTGACCAATAGACGATGCTTGGGACTAGCAATCATCCTCAATGTGTAAAAACTGGTGATCTTAAATTAGGCAATACCAGCGCCGGCCGCGCCCGAACACAGGTCAAGAAAG